AGACACTTATTTTTTGAATGTCAGTACTCAGCTACAGTTTGGAACCTAGTGATGGACTGGATGAATTTTAACTGGAAATCTTGTTGCTGGGACTCCATAATTAACTGGTTCAGCCACAATTTGGAAAGAAAGAGGAATTTCACAGAGAAATTAAAGCGGATGGCCCTTGCTGTGTCGGTTTACATGCTATGGAATGAGAGGAATCTTCGGATTTTCCAGGATAAAGCCAGGCCACCTGACATGCTGTTTCGAGCCATAAAGTTTTCTATTTACTCAAAAATTCTAAATGAAAATTTTTCTTTGTATATAAGAGATAGAATTAGAGAGATGTAACTAGGCTCTTTCTAATTTTGTGTTTCCAGGCCAATTTCCTGGATTTGAAAAATGTACAAATTCTCATTTGGTTAATGAATAAAGCTATTTTCATCGACCAAAAAAAAAGAAATCAAAGTCTTGAACGTTGCTCCCTTTGTAGTCAATTTTCGTCAAAATTCGAATCATGGATCAAGGTATGATCACTTAATTAAATTGTTCATTGAGAAAATCATATTGTTCTAAGATCTTGGTTTTATTGATGATTAAATCAAATAAAGTTTGATTTACTTAAGATTAGGTTTACACTAACAACTCGTTATGGTGGATTTTAAATTTAATCCTCTCACATGCATCACAAGTTTACCTTCAGCTATTAGAAAACCATGGATTCTAACAACTCGTCATGGTGGATTTTAAATTTAATCCTCTCACATGCATCACAAGTTTCATGGTGGATTTTAAATTTAATCCTCTCACATGCATCACAAGTTTACCTTCAGCTATTAGAAAACCATGAATTCTAACAACTCATCATGGTGGATTTTAAATTTAATTCTCTCACATGCATCACAAGTTTACCTTCAGCTATTAAAAAACCATGGATTCTAAGTTTCTAACAACTCGTCATGGGGTGAGGGGCTGTTGGGGGGGTAAAAAACCATGGATCTACACTGTCATGGTGTGTGGTGTGTGGGGGAGAGGGGGGTTTGCTGTATTTACCCTTTAAACAATAGAGCAACGCCAGCCAAGATCCGATCTCTGCTTCGAAGGCCGACGGTGGCGCAAGGATGTTGAACCCCCTCCAGAACAAGCTCTGAAGGAACTCCCAAGCCCAGGCTCTATGGCCGACTGTGGCGGTGGAGAAGTTCGGCTCCCCAGGCTCCTAAATTTGTGGAGCGCTTCGGAGCCCGAACTGGGCGATTTTACAAAACCCCCTCCCCCCCAAAGTTTAAAATTGGGTGGCATTCTCGTTGAGATGGCTGGCGTTCGGAGCGGAGATCTGGGGGCTTGGGTCTGGTCGAGATCTGGGTGGCGTTGGGTCCTGGTCGGAGATGTGGTGGCGAAGAGGTCGACGACTGGCCTCCTGCAGCGCGACGACGTCGCGCCAGTCGATGGAGAGGATATTGGGGTTGGTTGGTCTGTCGAAGGGGTTGGGGTTGGGTTTTGAGTGTTTGGACGAAGGGGGGGCGTTGGGGTCTGTACGAAACTAAGATGAAGAGGGGTTTTTGGAATTTTTTATTTATTGGTTTCGAAATTTGATGAGTGAAATGTTGATGAAGTTGAGCTGAGCCGAAATTTACCGTTGAACCAGGAGAATGACCGTTGAAGATGATTGTGATCAGTGTTTTTTGAGAGGAAAATGTCGTTGAGATGGTGTTGATCAAAATTTACCGTTGGAGACAAGATGAAAATCCCGTAAATTTAGCTGGTTAAGTTAAAAATATCATGAAGCAGTAAAAAATCTATAAATTCTTTCACGTTCAACACAAAAATCATCCCAAACTCTCTCTATAGAAACTCAATATTCCTTCAATTACAAATCATGGATCCCTCACAAAACTATTATTCGGCACTCCTTACCGGTGAAGGAATCGCTTATACGCCGTGTTTATAAGAAGTCGTAGAAGAAGGTCATCCCATCGAGTTATCGCAATCCGTAACACAACAAGTGTCATCCCAAGAAACACCGACCACAAAGAAGAAGAAGGCTTACACGCGGTCCGAAAATTGGACTGTCCACGAGGATAAGCTTCTTGTGTCTGCTTGGCTGAACACGAGCCAAGACGCCATCCAAGGTACGGGGTAACACAAAGATAAGTTTTGGCACAGAGCTAACAACTACTTTATCCAATACTCTGTCGATCCAACGAGTCGCACGCCAAACCAAATGATGCATCGTTGGTCAACGATTCAACTGTCCGTCAACAAGTTCTGCGGGTGCGTTGCTCAGATTGAAGGAAGACAAAGATCTGGTACGGGAATTATTGACCAGGTAAATATTTAACTTATATGTTTTTATGTCAACAACATAGCATTGAAGAGAGGAATATATATGTTTAATTATGTTTGATTATTCTAAATTTAACTCTTGTGTAGACTGCAGAAGTAAAAGAATTATACCAATCTCTTTATGGTAAGCCATTCGTGTTTGATCATTGCTGGGTTGAGTTGCGTCATCATCAAAAGTGGATCCAACAAATGGAATCTTACAATAAGATTCGATCACAGCCGAGAAGAACCACAAACTCTGATTCCTCACCAAACAATTCCATGCCAGCGACCCCCATCGAGTTGAACATCGACTCGGATGATGTGTTAGTAAGGCCTGAAGGGAGGAAAGCAGCAAAGCTCAAGAGGAAACAAAATATGGAAAACTCTGGATCCGCTACGTCCATCATGGGAGAGGCATTCGCGTGGATGAAGGAAACCACAAATCAAAAAATAGAGCTAAAACAAAAGAAACAAGATGACGAGATCATGAAGATGGATCTCTCAACACTCAATCCAGTTCAACGACAGTACTTTGAAATGCGTCAGGCGGAGATATTGGAGAGGTGGATGTCTAAGGGTTCTTCCTAATTATCATATATTATCTTGTATTAGATTTATGATTGTACTCGCATCGCATCCTAATTAGTTCTTCCTAATTATCTTGTATTAGATTTATGATTGTACTTGAAATTGAAAAATTTGGCATTTAATGAAAACAACTACTTTATTGAAAAGAAAATTGGCGCAGTACATAAAGAAACTTAATCCTCGTCGATGGATCCCTTGAGCTGCCACAGATGCTCAATCAAATCATTCTTTAGTGATTTGTGTGTTTGCGTGTTCCTGATCCGATGATGATTTTGGATGAACTCGGTTAGAGGCACCGTCTGCACATGAGAAGGTTCAACGACTGGTATCGAATCATTAAAGTCGAAGTTGTTGTCCAATTGACAATCTCGTTCATCTTCAACGATCATGTTATGCATTATGATGCAAGCTGTCATGATGTCTTTCAGCACACTAGGTTGCCAGAAACGTCCTGGTCCACGAACAATCGCAAATCGAGCTTGCAACACGCCAAAAGCTCGCTCAACATCTTTTCTTGCGCTCTCTTGTTGTTGAGCAAAGTACTTATGCTTGTTTCCTCGTGGTGCTGGAATAGTCTTCACTAATGTGGACCACTCTGGGTAAATCCCGTCGGCGAGATAGTATCCCATATTGTACTCGTGGCCATTAACAGTATAGTTGCACGGTGAAGCTCTTCCCTCCGCAAGTTGTGCGAAAACCGGTGAACGATGTAGCACATTGAGGTCATTGTGAGACCCCGGCAGTCCAAAGAAGGCATGCCATATCCAAAGATCTTTGCTAGCTACGGCCTCCAAAATAATTGTAGGTTCATGAAAATGCCCAGTATACATACCTTGCCAGGCGGTTGGACAGTTCTTCCATACCCAGTGCATGCAGTCGATGCTCCCAAGCATACCAGGAAAACCTCGTTGTGAACCCTCCTCGAGCAGGCGTGCAACGTCTTCATTAGTCGGTGAACGAAGGTATTCCTCCCCAAAGATGTTGATAATCGATCGAACGAACCTCTTCACGCTCTCAAGCGACGTACTTTTACCGATCCGAACGTAGTCGTCAACGGCGTCAGCGGATGCTCCATATGCGAGCATCCGCATAGCTGCAGTAATCTTTTGAAGGCTAGATAGTCCTAACTGTCCCGCACCATTCCTCTTTTGGACGAAGTACTTGTCATGTTCGACGACAGCGTCGTGGATTCGAAGGAATAACGAACGCGACATTCTGAATCTTCGACGAAAATAATGAAGAGGATAGGTTGGTGTGTCAGCAAAATAATCTGGGAACAACCGATTGTGGCCTTCCAGTCGGTATCGATGGAGCACGGTACGTCTTTTGTGTTGAACTGAAGTTGAACCTTTCCCTTGTTCTTCTTCCTCGACGGCAGCAGCTCCCATAAGAAAGAACCTCTTCATCATTTCATCATCGCTAGAGCTAGATGAGCTAGACATTTTGTTTTGGGAGACGATGGGTTGAGGTGAGAAGGCATCGAATTTTATAGGAATCAGTCGGTCAAAGTTTGCGATACCTCGAAGTTCGTGCCCAACCTCGAAGACCGCGAGCTACCTCAAAGACCGGGTGCGTTCCCTCAAAGACCGTGAGTTACCTCGAAGACCGTGTGCGTTCCCTCGAAGACCGCGGGGTACCTCGAAGACCGTGTGCGTTCCCTCGAAAGCCGCGAGTTACCTCGAAGACCGTGTGCACTCCCTCGAAAGCCGCGAGTTACCTCGAAGACCGTGTGCGCTCCCTCGAAGACCGTATCCAACGGTTAGAAATAAAATACAAGAGGTTTAAATATAATTAAAAGTAATGGGTAAAATATTAAAATAGAAGAGGGGTTTTTTTGATATTGTTGGAGCTCCTAACTAGGAGCTTGTTGGAGCTCCATAAAATAAGGAGATGCTCCCAAGGAGGATTTTTATAATTTTTTATACCAAAATGCTTGAGAGCTCTTGAGAGCTTGATGACTAGGACTCCCAACTGGGAGCTTGCTAGACTTGCTCTAATAACACGGGCCTAGCGCGGTAGAACAACTTTGCCGTACAACATCCCTCTAATAGGGAACCCGCGAGTGAGCAGAACAAACCCGCCCATCCATCAAATGAGCGGGTGATGGATTCTTTCCGCTCATTTTTCTGTTATTGATTTCCTTCCAAAATTAGGGTTTAGTTACAATGGGCTGTGATTTCCCTCCGCAATCACCCTCAAATTTTTCCTGTTATTATTCTCCTCCTCCCCTTCTTTCTTTCTCCTTTTCTTTTTTGTTTTTCCCCTCTGCCCATTGGCCTCTTCGGGCTGGTTGAAACCGTTTTTACGTCGATTTTCACTGAGCTTGGAGATTTTGGTCTCCAGGTGCGCGCTCAACCTTTTTTTTTTTTGGAATATTTTTGTTTTATTTGGTTATTACTATGATTATTATGATCTAATTTCATTCAAAAAGGACCCTTTTGTGAATTTTTAGTTGGTCTACGAGAATGGTTGTATTTTGTTCATAATGACTAAGAAAAAGAAGAAGGATAGAGAGGTTCGAAGGGAAAATGATATGTAAAATTGAATGGTGTAGGCTTGACGGTGGTAGAGAAATTTTATAACAAAGATTTGAGGCAAGTTTGACTCGTGGAAGGGTAATTTCACCAAAACCACCCCAAAAGTTTGGCCTTTAGTGCTAACGCTGTTAGTTTTTGTGTCATGTCTAATTTTCAAAAGTTTAGGGATTTATCTCAAAATGAGCCTGACGTTTGGGGGAGGGTTTTGTGAACTTTACCCGATGGGAATATTGTTAAGAACTTGATTTTTGGATATATGAGGCTTCCTTGTAAATTTTTATATAAAACACTTAAGTCAATAGGCTTAATAATCTAAGATTAAAATAGAATCTATATTTTGTTATTTAGTCCTCACTTTTTCACATTTCTAGAAAATGGATGCATTAGATAGGCCTTCTCAAGAGTTTGATGTTGGCCACAAGCAGGCGTGCGGCCTATATTTGTATAACATGGCATCCCCTTCTTGTGAAATTCATCACCTCACTTATCTAAATACGTGCATTAGTCACCTATATAGACTTTAGAGTCTCTAGTAACTAGTAAGTTTGATTTTCCATGGTCAATAAGTTAACTGACCCGATAATAGTTTTCTTGATTATTTTCTAAATCAGTACTATTTGAAGGTTTGGTCATTGCCAAACCGTGATGAAATTTTTTCATGCTAAACTTACTGGATTGTCCAAATGTAGCCCAGCTTGGTGTAAGTTATCTGTGCACATGTTAATGTACAATGCTAATGAAAGAAAGCTAGGCATTAAGATCTGTCAAGTTTTTGTTCAGGAAGAACAGGTTATCTTTTTCAAATAGGAGTTATAAGAAGTTCTCAAGCCAAATTCATATGAAATAATGTTTATCAAATGGTCAGCAATTTATAACTCCAATTGTCTAGTTGTTTTATGCCTCTCCTCAATCTAGCAGGATAATCTTTTTTCAATCTTTTCTATGCTAATACAAGACAATATTTAGCGAACTTGACGGAGGGGAAAAAAGTTATATATAACCTAATAAATTGTTGTCTTTGTTAGCAAACGATAGTGCTCTATCTGTATTAATGTATGCCATACATATATGCATATATTCCTTAATTACACGGGCAGACATAAAGACACATGCGTGCTAGGATTAACTCGTAATTCTAAAGCCTAGATGTTATAAATCTATTATAAGATGTTTAGCAGCATCAATGTTGAAGGAAATATAAGTAAGTTACATGAAGGTTTAATTTTCCAACAGCCTATTAGAATTCCTCACCAACTTAGATTATTCTAGAACAACTTTTTAGAACTTCTTTCTAGTAACATCTTATAAAATATCTACTAAGAAGTTTCTAGGAAGATACAACTGTATGGCTAGTATTTATTCTTCTAGAAACTTCTTACTAATGTATGGTTAGGATTAACTCTTCTACACACTTCCTAGCCCTGTTAAACAACTATAAATAGGGGTCTTCTCATTTGTGTAAGCAAGCAAAAAAGTAAGCTTGAAAGCTTGAGTGTGTAGTATAGGCTTGTGTGAGTGTTCACCAAAATAAAAGAGTTGTGTGAAAGTGAGGTGCTCTTGTAAGAGCATGTATTGTACTCTCTAGTATTCTATCAATAACAGTTTCCTTTGTGTAGAGGGTTTTATTCTTCAATTTTCATCAAAGTGGTATCAAAGCAATGTTCGATCTAGACGGGCCAATCGAAGGTGATCGTGTACGAGATGACGAACATGATCCAGCCATAGATTCCGAAGCTGATGAAGACCAATTACGACAATTGGAGTATCCAGATGAAAGTCTTGCTCGGCTCGCAAGACTTGTGGGAGCTCATAGAGAATGGCTATAGTGAACCAGAGTCACCTGCAGAAGAAACAACTCTCACCATCACACAGAAGAGTGAGCTGAAGGAGGTCAGAAAAAGAGACAAAAAGGCTTTGTTCCTAATATTTCAAGACGTAGATGAATCAGCGATTGAGAAGATTTCCAACGCCATGTCCTCTAAAGAAGCATGAGAGATTTTACAAAAATCCTATCATGGTGCGGAAAGAGCAAAAAAGGTACGCCTCCAAACATTAAGAGTTGAATTTAAAAATTTGAAGTTGAAAGCTACAGAATCAATATCAGACTATTTTAGTAGAGTTCAGACAATAACTAATCAAATGAAGAGAATCAATATCAGACTATTTTAGTAGAGTTCAGACAATAACTAATCAAATGAAGAGAAATGGAGAAGCAATTAATGATGTAAGAATTATGGAGAAGATACTTAGGACTTTAGACTCTAAAAAATTCAAATATATTATTCCGGCAATACAAGAGTCTAAAGATCTTTTCGAAGTTTCTATTGATGAGCTACAAGGTTCTCTGCAAGCTTATGAACAAGATATAAACATCAGTTCAAATCAAGTGGAGAATCTAGAGCAAGCATTACAGAGTAAGATGACTATCAAAGAAGATAATCGAAGAGGACGTGGAGGCTACAGAGGCAAATGCTCTTTTTGATGTGGCTCAAACTTCCAGCAATATCGTAGGAGGCCATGAAAATCAAGATCAAAATGGAGATCGTGAATGATCATTCGATCGAGGACGAGGTCGTGGCGTACGAGGACGAGGACCAGAAAGAAGTTATCAGGGGGACAAATATCAGCCACAGTGTTACAAATGCAAGAGATACGGCCATCTCAGCTACGAATTCTGGGAGAAACCAAATCAAGTGGCAGAAAAAAGTAACTTTGTAGCCAGACACTTTAACAGTCCTGCTGACGTACCAGGAGAATGAAAGTAAGAATCGAGATATCTGGTATCTGGATTCAGGTGTCAGTAACCACATGTGCGGCATCAATGAGTTCTTTACCTAGCTAAATAAGACGGTGCAAGGAGATGTCACTTTTGGAGACCAGTCAAAGATTCCAGTAAATGGCAAGGACAAGATAATGATCCAGACAAAGACGGGCAAGAATAGGTACATCTTTGATGTCTATTATGTTCCAGCACTATGAAATAATATTTTGAGTCTAGGTCAGCTTCTTGAAAGAGGTTATGATATACATCTAAAAGACTTTGCTCTCACTATCAAAAATAAAAATGAAGTAATTACAAAGGTGAACATGTCTAGATATAGACTGTTTATCTTAAATATTCATACGGACTCTGTCAAGTGCTTAAAGATGATTATGAATGATGAGTCTTGGCTCTGGCATTTGAGATTCGGACGTCTTGCATTCAGTGGCCTGAATCTTCTGTGGAAGAAAAAATAGTGAGAGGATTGCCGCAAATCAACCATCTGAACCAGCTATGTGAATGTTGTATGAAGGGCAAGCAACATAGAAGAAGTTTCGAAGTTGGAAAGTCAAGAAGAGCAATGGAGCTGCTACAATGGGTCCACACAGATATAGCAGGACCATTTAAAGTCGTCTCTCTTGGAGGAAACATGTACTTTCTCATATTTATTGATGATTATAGCAGAAAATTTTGGTTTTATTTCTTGAAGTAGAAATTCGAAGCTCTGGAAAAATTCAAAGAATTCAAGGAGATAGTAGAAAAACAAAGTGGGTATCACATCAAGGTGCTCCGATCAGATCGAGACGGAGAATACACTTCGAAGGCATTCAACAATTTCAACAAGCAGTACGGGATAATTTATCAACTCATTGCCGCCTACACATCACAACAGAATAGCATAGCAGAGTGGAATAATCGTATCATTTTTTATATCGTCAGAAGCATGTTGAAGAGCAAGTACATGCCGAAGACTTATTGGGCTGAAGTCGTGGACTGTGCAGTTTACCTCAATCGATGTCCGACAAATAGAGTAAAGTTCAAGACACTATTAGAGATGTAGAGCAACATCAAGCCAAGCGTCAACCACCTGAAGGCGTTTGGGTGCATTGCATATACACACATCCCAGAGCAGAAAAGAAAGAAGCTGGACGATCGAGGAGAAAAGTGCATATACGTTGGGTACGAGAGGAGGACAAAAGCATATAAGCTTTACAATCCAATTACAAAGAAGATGATCATTTCAAGAGACGTGGAGTTCGATGAAGAAGATTAATGGAAATGGACCGATGAAGACAAAAATATTAAAGATATGTTCTTTGAAGATAATGATGATGACTTGCAGGAGGTTAGAAGACTAGAACAAAGTACACCTAATAGTCCAGCTCCATCAACCCCAACATCGACGCTGACATCATCGCCATCCAGCTCAAGTGAAAGAAGCTCTTCAGGGGGAGCAACAAGAAGGATGAGAAGCCTAAGAGATCTGTATGACGATACAGAAACTGTCGAGATGATGGAGGACTACACACTATTCCGCTTGTTTGCAGAATGTGATCCGGTCAGCTATGAAGAAGCTGCTCAAGAAGACAAGTGGAGAAAAACCATGGATGACGAGATCGAGGTAATCAAGAGAAATGATACATGGGAGCTCACTATCTTACCTGATGGTCATAAACCAATTGGAGTAAAGTGAGTGTACAAGACAAAGACAAATCAAGACAGCGGAATCGAGAAATACAATGTCAGACTTGTTGCAAAGGGCTATAGTCAGCGAGAAAGAGTTGACTATGAAGAAGTGTTCGCACCAGTCGTGAAGATCGACACCATTAGACTCATTATCGTATTGGTAGCACAGAACCGGTGAAAGATCTACCAGATGGACGTGAAGTATGCATTCCTTAATGGCTACCTAGAAGAAGAAGTCTACATCAGGCAGTCACCGGGGTACGAGGTGAAGAACCAAGAAGATAAAGTCTATAAGCTGAAGAAGGCATTGTATGGATTGAAGCAAGCACCCAGGACGTGGAATGCCAGAATCGATGCATACTTCCAGAAGAATGGATTCTAACAGAGCTCGTATGAGCACTCTCTCTATACCAAGAAGAAGGATGGCGACATTATGATCGTATGTCTCTACGTGGACGACATAATCTTCACCGGCAACAATCCGAAAATATTCGAGGAGTTCAAGAAGAACATGATCAGGGAGTTCGAGATGACTGACATTGGAAAAATATCATACTTTCTTGGAGTAGAAGTATCACAATCTGAGAGAGGAATCTTCATCCCTCAGAAAAAGTACGCAAAGGAGATCATTCGGAAGTTCAACATGAACAACTGCAAACCAGTTGTAACTCCTGTTGAAGTCGGAGTGAAGCTGAGGAGAGACTCATCACGAATCTCTATTGATCCAATTTTGTATAAGAGCTTAGTCGGAAGCCTACGGTACCTGACCATCACAAGACCCGACATAATGTTTGCGGTTGGACTGATGAGCAGATTCATGGAGGAGCCAAGGCAAGAACACTTCAAGGTGGCCAAGAGGATTCTCAGGTATGTTCAATGAAGCATTAATGAAGGATTATTTTACTCACAAAGTGTAGATCCAAGACTAGTCGGTTACACCGATAGTGACTATAGGGGAGACTTGGATGAAAGAAAGAGTACATCCGGCTACATGTTCAGCATTGGATCAGCAGCCTTTTCTTGGTCATCAAAGAAGCAGACAATTGTTGCTCTATCAAGTTACGAAGCGGAATACATTGCTACATCTGCAGGTGCATGTCAAGCGATATGGCTTAGAAATCTAATGAAGGAGCTGCAATATGAACAAGAAGCACCGACAAAGATTCTCATCGACAACAAGTCAGCTATTGCACTTGCCAAAAATCCGATAGCACATGGACGGAGCAAACACATAGAGTCAAAATATCATTTCATCTGACATCAAGTTAAAAATAAGACTGTGATACTGACATATTGCAAGTCTGAAGACCAAATCGCTGATATCTTCACCAAGCCACTAAAGACAGAAACATTTTTGAAGCTTAAGAAGCAACTTGGACTTGTGAGAAATGAAAGTTGGTGATGAGGGGGAGTATTAGAATTCCTCACCAATTTAGATTATTCTAGAACAACTTTCTAGAACTTCTTTCTAGTAACATCCTATAAAATATCTATCAAGAAGTTTCTAGAAAGATACAAGTTTATGACTAGTATTTATTCTTCTAGAAACTTCTTATTAATGTATGGCTAGGATTAACTCTTTTATACACTTCCTAGCCCTCGTAAACAACTATAAATAGGGGTCTTGGGCTCTCATTTGTGTAAGCAAGCAAGAAGTAAGATTGAAAGCTTGAGTGTGTAGTGTAGGCTTGTGTGAGTGTTTACCAAAATAAAAGAGTTGTGTGAAAGTGAGGTGCTCTTGTAAGAGCAAGTATTGTACTCTCTAGTGTTCTATCAATAAAAGTTTTCTTTGTGTAGAGGATTGTATTCTTCAAATTCCATCACAGCCATACGATAGAATAAATAAATCTTAGCTTGAAGTTAAGTATGTTTCATTGAAGCTAACATTGTGGTACATGATAAATTGGTATTTGTACTCCCCTATTTGGTCGTTTGTGACAAACTCTATAATTATGAAATATTTGTTGGTCTTAGGTGAGAGCTGCATTGTGTTACACAATGCATGCTATGCGCTTACTTTTTAACGTTTGTCAACAAATGTTCCTAAATTTGAGAAGAAGAAAGCCTTCAGGGAAGTTAGCCATATTAGTATCTAAAACTTAACCTTTAAAATTTGTAGTTACTTTTAAATTTGTGTTTGCAGGTCCAGTAACTGATTTACAAGTTATCCAGTTATAATATGTAGTCATCATGGGGACAAAAATCTCAAAACAAGGGCCTGCAAAGGTCAAAATCATGGGTGACATCAATGTCCAACATAAAGTTGTGCATTACCTCACTAGCTTGTTCTTTGTTCGATCCCTGGTCTCTAAAAGTCGGAGGAGAATGATTGTTGCTGGATATGACTTGGATATGACATACATAACCGATCGCCTTTTGGCAATGTCGTATCCTGCAGAACGAATGCAAGCCATGTATAGGAATCCGCTATGGCAGGTGAAAAATGTGTTAGATATGAGACATCCTGGTCATTACAAGGTAATATCAATTTGATGGTAAGAATTTATTTGTCTACTAATCTTCTCTCGCTATTTGTTGTTTTTTTCCCTTTTTTTTGGGTATTTGTAGATTGTTATTTGTCAAATCATAACTTGTTTTTCATATTTATTTTTGAGCTAATATAATGTGGTAATGTTTTTTTTTTCTCACAAATTAATTACTATACAAACTAGAAAGGATGTAACAAATGTGTTTACCAGAAGTGCACACGTCTCTATAATCTAGAAATACACTACTTTTCTCTAGACATTGTATGTGTTAAGTTGCGCACTGCTTCAACAAACTGGTATCAGAGTTTTGGTGTCGATCCTATTTTCGGGTTTGAGATGTCTTCAACAGAGTACAAGGTAGAGAAGTTTGTGGGAAGGAACAGTTTCAGTCCACCACTCCAAGAAGCTAGTATCAGAGCTTTGGTGTCATTCTTTTTTGTGGGCTTGTCTTTATTAGAGAAATTCAATGGGTAAAACAGTTTCAATCCACCACTCCAACAAATTAATATCAAGGCTCATGGTTCAATGGGTATTTGGTAGATGCTTTGTTTGCTACAAATTAATGCCAAGCCATGTTAAATCATTGTGTTGTTCATGTCTCTGCTATCTAAATTCAGTTTGATTATTGCTCTAAATTTATATAGCATCTTTTTTATGTTGAGTTGCACAAAAGTTTCCACTGAATGACTGCATATTTTCAACATCTCTTCAAAGTATACTGTAACCATTATCATATGATAAATTGTTAGTAACATTCTACGCTACAGGGTAGGTCTTAATAACCCTTAAAATCTGATGTCTAGAGCTCATATGTCCTTCATGCCATCTCTTGATTATCTATTAATTTTCTCAAGTCGTTTTGTTGGTCTTTTGTCACAGTAAAAATCATATTCAAGTACTAAATTCAGTTAAACCCTCACTAGCCATAGTTCACAAATCTAAACCCATTTTAAATCCCAACTTTACCTCCTTGATCACAAATTCCCTTGCCCTCCAATACGATAACAATTGCCTCTGCTGTTTCAACTTATCCTTGTCACACATACCAATGTACCATCATCTCCGTCAATATACCACTTCCTCGTTTTCTCCTTGCTTTTCATCTTAAGTGTAACCACCCTCTCGACTTCTATTACTTTCCTTTTTCTATTATTAATCTTTTTCGCCATCATAATGATCAACCATCAACCCCTTCCCCCTATCACTATGACCACATTCACCTTATTGTCATCTTTTCTCTGCCAGCAACATTGTGTTCACCACTATTATAACTTTTAGTTTCTTTTTCTTTTTTGAGTTGTGATAATTTAAAGAATAGTTTTGGTCTGATAAGTTCTTAACCTTGTACATTTTGAACTAATTAACATTTAGGATGTCATATGAAAACCTCACAAGCAAAACACCTCCACCTGCACAAACACAACACCACTACCCGCCTCCTAGTAGGATATTCCGTTAGTATGCTTATATAGATGATGTCATATACCGTTTATCCTATACTTTATTCCAGACCTATTCTTATTTGAAATCTAGCTGTTCTTAATTTATTGGATTTTATCTCAATGACTAAAGAGATAGGATATTGCAGGTTTACAATCTTTGTGCAGAAGAAAGCTATGATGCATCTCATTTTCATGGGCGTGTAGAGGTTTACCCATTTGATGACAACCATGTTCCACCGTTGAAAATGATCAAACTTCTCTGTGAAAGCATACACTCGTGGCTTTCTCAAGATCCAGAAAATGTTGCTGTTATACATTGTATGGTATGACCTTTTTGGTTTCTCCAACCGTCTATTTCATTTCCTTATTGTTTACTTTGTCTTATTTATACAAGTTGTTAATACAAACCCTAACTCTATTATGAGATCTCTTGGGCTTATATAGGCCCTACACAACTTACACATAACCCCTTACATATATTACTAATGTCAACACTCCTCCTCAAGATGGGCGAAAGATATCCACTAAGCCCATCTTGTCACATCCTCTAATCATGTCTAATGAGCTAAGTCCTTTAGTCAGACAATCTGCTGCCTGATCCTTAGTTGAAACATGACTTAGCTCCAGTAGTCCACTATCCAACTTCTCTTTGATGAAGAACCTATCGATCTCGATGTGTTTGGTTCTATCATGCTGCACTGGGTTGTTGGCGATACTGATAACTGACTTATTGTCACACCATAACTTTATCTTAGTTCCGTGATCCAGCTTCAGCTCAACCAGCATACTCTTCAACCATAACAACTCAGCAACTCCTAAGGCCATAGCTCTATACTCTGCCTCAGCTGTTGATCTCGCCACCACTGATTGCTTCTTGCTCTTCCACGAGACTAAGTTGCCTCCTATAAAGATGCAGTATCCCGAGGTGGACCTCCCGTCATCAGCACTGCTAGCCCAATCAGAGTCACAATAACCCTCGATGCTCACATGTCCATTTTTCCTGAATATCAGTCCCTTTCCAGGGGCACTCTTCAGATATCTCAGAATCTGGTACACAGCGTCCATATGACCCTTCCTTGGATCATGCATGTAGCGGCTCACCACGCTCACTGCAAAAGAGATATCGGGACGTGTGTGACTCAGATAGATCAACCTCCCTACCAGCCTTTGGTATCTGTCACGATCAACTGGTTCTCCAGCCTCAGCACCCAGCTTGAACTTCTGGTCGATCGGTGTAGTTGCAGGTTTACACCCTAACATCCCTGTCTCTTTAAGAAGATCCAGTGCATACTTTCTCTGGGATAAGACAATCCCCTCCGCTCCGCGAGCTATTTCTATTCCAAGAAAGTATCGAAGCAACCCAAGATTTTTCACCTCGAACTCCTTACCCAGTCTCACTTTGAGTTTGGCAATCTCCTCCTCATCATCCCCTGTAATGATCATATCATCCACATATACCGCAAGCACAGTGATGTAACCTTCATTTCGTCGGAAGAACACGGTATGATCAGCGTTAATCTGCCGGTATCCCATACCTATCATAGCCCGCCTAAATCTGTCGAACCAAGCACGAGGAGATTGTTTCAGGCCATATAGAGACTTCTTCAATCTGCAGACCTTGCCCACTGTCTGTTCTGTGTTGAATCCTGGCGGAATTTCCATGTATACCTCTTCCACCAGATCTCCATGAAGAAATGCATTCTTCACATCTAATTGGTGTAGCTTCCATCCACCATTTACTGCCAGAGAGATTAAGGTTCGAACAGTGCTCATCTTCGCCACTGGTGCAAAAGTCTCATCATAATCGATGTCGTATGTCTGACTATATCCTTTTGCCACCAGACGAGCTTTGTAGCGCTCAACCTGTCCATCTGGATTCTGCTTCACAGTGAAGACCCACTTGCATCCAACTGCTCTCTTCCCTTTTGGTAGTATTACTAACTCCCAAGTGCGGTTCTTCTCAAAGGCCCCTAGCTCTTCATGCATAGCAGCTTTCCATTTCTGGTCCTTCTTTGCAACCTGCCAATTGTTAGGTATAGTAACAGAGTCCAATGATGCAATAAATGCTCCATGTGCAGGGTGAATGTTAGAGTATGATACAAACTGAGCAAGATCCCAACCATATCTATCGGGAGGATTTCCCGCATTACTGCGAGTAGTCCTCCGTACAGTTATTGGTGTGGGAGGAATAGGAAGAGAAATGGAGTCACCTTGAGAGGAATCTTGTGGTGGTGTAGGTGTCTCAGGAGTTGGGGCAGGCGTTAGCAAGGGACTTGACACTAGTGGCACTGTAGGTACTGTTGGTACTGTTCCCGCAATTTGTTTCCCCTTCCTACTATAGGTAAGTAGTTCTCCCTGAGCCGTTGGCCTAACACCTCTTGTCTCAATCTCCTCTTCATCTTCATTCTCTTGCTCCTCCTCAACCAAGTCTCCTTCCCAAGGAATCGTTACAGAAATTGATTTTTCCGATCTCTCACCATTCTCAGACATTGATTTCTCCACATTCTCCTCCTCTCGCCGCATACTTCCAGTATTAGGCGAGTTATCAACGGATGAAGTTACCTTCCGGGTGTAATATGGCTCGAGTTCTCGAAAGTGCACATCCATACTCACAAACAACCTTTTCTCCACCGGGCTCCAGCAAACATAGCCCTTCTGAGTAGCAGAATATCCCACAAAAATGCATTTCACCGCTCTAGGGGCGAGCTTCCCGACTGATGGCCTGTTGTCTTTCACAAAGCACACACAGCCAAACACCTTGAGTGGAAGAAGCCCACCATTATCTCCCTTCAACAACTCACACGGAGACTTCCAATCCAGCACTCTCGAGGGCATTCTGTTGATTAGTGCTGCCGCGGTCAACACTGCTTGTCCCCATAATGTTTCTGGGACATTCATAGAGATCATCATACTTCTAGCAACCTCTAAAAGATGTCTATTCTTTCTTTCCGCTACTCCATTTTGAGCAGGTGTGTATGGACACGTAGTCTGGTATTGTATTCCCTGAGCTGACAAGTATTCCCCAAACGTTTTGTTAGTATATTCCGTCCCATTATCAGATCTTAATACCTTCACCACAGCGCCGTATTGAGTCTGAGCATACCTATGAAAATTTTGAAAGCAACCAAACACTTCACTCTTATTTTTCATCAGGTACAACCAAGTAACACGGGAGAAACAATCAATAAAAGTAACAAAATACTTGTATCCATTCATAGAACTTGTAGAACAAGGTCCCCAAACATCTGAATGTATCAGTTCGAATACACGAGAACTCCTATGACCAGAACTTACGTAAGAACTTCTAGTAAGTTTTCCAAGCTCACATGCATCACATACAAGGTGCTGCTTATTTGCTTTCTCAAATAGAGATGGATACAACCTACTTAAAACATTAAAAGATGAGTGTCCCAAACGCTGGTGATGAAGCATCAACACACTCTCAGCACTCATCTCAGATCCTACTTCTACTCTCTCTATCATTGACACTAATGCTGAATCCAGTCCTTCACGATCCAGAAACCACAGTCCACTACGCCATGTGCCAGTCCCAAGTCTCCGCCCTGTCCCCTTCTCCTGGAAGATCACCTTGGGAATATCAAAAGAAACAATGCATTTTAGTTGAAGGATGATAGCACTAATGGATAAAAGGTTGACTGGAAAGGAAGGAGCATGCAAAACATTGGACAGAGTTACAGAACATGTACAATCGACTGTACCCTTACCAACCACTGGCTGAAATGTACCATCAGCTGTTTGAATACTATCAGGCGATGCTAGGTGAGTATATGATGAGAACTCACTAGCATTACCTGTCACATGTCGAGACGCACCGGAGTCGACTATCCATTCTGATGATTTGTCGGAAGATATGGAAGCAAGAGCATATATGTCATCAGTACCTTTCGTCGGATGAGCATAGGTAGCAGTGTTGCCTCTGGCGAAGAATGATGTGGATGCCTCCTCTGTCCCACTCCTCCTGTCTCCATCCCCTGCTACTTGTTGCTTCCTCCTGAGTATCGCCAGGAGCGCCTGATCCTCCTCAGTAAAGATCACCTCAGCTTCTTCTCCTTCTTTTGCTATCATCAGATTCGCCCGGTTGCCTGCTCCCCTTCCACCTCGGCGACCCCCACGGTCACGACCACGCCCTCCGAACTGTCCACGTCCACCCGAATCTCCTTCCTTGGGTGGTTTGGTGCAAGCATGCCTTAGATGACCCACTTCACCGCAGTTGTAGCACTGCCGAGTCTCTCCCCTGGATCCATTATTGTTAGATACTGCTAAAGCTGACTTCACCACAGGAAGTCCACCTGTCCCCACCTGCAGCCTAATGCGAGTCTCCTCCTGGATCATAGCCGAGACAGCCTCCTCAAGCGAGGGAATTTTCGGCTGAGCTAGCAGTAATGCAATTCGCTGAGCGAACTCTGATGTCAATCCCTTAAGAAACACCATAGTCCTCTCCTGTAGAAAGGCCTCCCGCTCTTTACATCCTGGGTCCTTGCAGCTTGCCCGGGGAGAAAAATGGTCATAATCCAGCCACAGACGCTCCAGCTCTGTAGCATATTCTTGTACAGTCCTCTCTCCCTGGACTGTGGCGTCAATCTCTCCTTTAATCTGGAACACCCTCAGGTTATTCCCCACTCCATCATATGTCCTCCTCAACTTCTCCCAGACGTCCTTCACCTTCTCAATGCCATCCACCGTGGCGGCGATCGTCGGGACCAACGAGTTGAGAAGCCAGATGTACACCAACATATGAGTGGACTTCCACTCATCTCTTCCCTCTGAGTCCTCCTCCGGCTCTGTCACCTCTCCTGTCAGATAACCCTCCAGATTCCTCCCTGCAAGGGTATATCTCACCCGTCGTGACCAGCTCAGGTACGTACTAGGTCCATCCAGCTTCAGATCGATGGTCGGAAGCTCCAACTTCTTCGATGGTCTTGTCGTGCTTTCATCAGCCGACAACTTCATCAACTTCATCAAAGTTGACACCTCCGCAGGGTTCAACTTCTTGATGATCTCCTCCATCGATCAAGCTTCAGATCCAACACCTGTTCTCCAAACCCTTGTTGTGCGCAGTGAAAAATTTCGGCAGCACTTTTGCTGCACAACAAGAGTAAGATCTTTCAACAAATTCTCGTTTCTCAGAGGAAACTAGAATCCAACAGTTATATATCTCATCGATGTGAGATATATACTCTTCCTGTCATCAGTTCGAGGACTGAGTCGAGGGAACCAATGCCAAACTCGAGGTCCAGCATGGTGAAGACGGGGTCGGTCAGGGAAGGGGTGATCGGTCTGCAGCAAAAACAAGGGGAGGAGGGGTGGGGGTTGGGGGTGGGGGGCGGCGGCTAGGGTTTAGAGGATGGCTCTAATACCAAGTTGTTAATACAAACCCTAACTCTATTATGAGATCTCTTGGGCTTATATAGGCCCTACACAACTTACACATAACCCCTTACATATATTACTAATGTCAACAATACACTTACTACTTTAGCAGAGAATTCTAGGAATCTAATTTTGAAAGCTTTCCTCATAGAATAAACATTGAGTGAACCATGAGAGAAACTAATATTCTTTCTGAAAGTTTTCAATTGAAGTTTTTTTTTTAATTTTTTTTAACTTATCCTTTAGGCAGGCAAGGGTCGAACAGGCTTAATGGTATGTGCTTATCTTGTTTATAGTGGCATGTCAGCTGATGAAGCTCTTCAACTGTATGCTGCTAAAAGAACAACTAATAATCAAGGGGTAAGTTGTTGTATATGGAAGGAGAGGTATCTTATCCATTTGCTCTTCAACACAAGATAGCCTAACATTCATTAGTTCTACTCTATTGTTTTTCTTTTTTGGGTTGTAATCTTGATTATTACAAATTCCTATCCTTCAAACATTCTTCCATAGGCACAATGAACTTCTGCAACTTACCAAGAAATTTTTGGAACTGAAATGCTCAATCATTTGTAACTAGTAAATCATCACTGCATGCCTCAACTATCATAAATCAACATGGGAACATATCTAACCTCATAGCATAATCTTATGAACGTTTAATTTTTAAGGAACTATAATTTTATTTGATTTGAAAGTGTGTCTCTTTTTTCTGATTGTCTGCTTTGTATTTGTGATTATGCATGAATGTATATGGGTGAAGGTGACTGGATTTTGTCTTCTAGAGTTATGTAGACTGTCCGAATCTAGCAAACTTAATGGTAATACACCTGAGCGTGAATGTAATTAATTCATGGGTGGAGTTCCATGGCATCATGAAGTTATATGTCAATAACTATGCTACTTATGTTTTTCCCGAGTTTGTTAAAGGTAAATTAGAGCATTGAATGGAATAACTCAATACCGTTTTGTTATAAAGCATACTAATTTTATCTTGTTGATTAAAGTAATGATTTTTTATTCTTTTGTTTACTCCGCTTTGTAGAATTGCTTTCTCTCTTTCATTAACACTGATCTTTGGCCAATGTCAGGTCTCAATACCAAGTCAACGTCGATATGTTGGGTATTGGTCTAGCATACTGAAAATCCCTAGGGAAAATCTAGACGGTCCTCCTGTTGTTGAGCTACCGAAACCAACTACGAGGGAATTGCGGAGAATTCGTCTATATGACACAGTTAATACTGACTCAATCTTCTTCGTGGTAACCAAATCCTTAGAGGCGGAAGAGGTAAATTCTCTCTACGGTCTACATATGAGTTGCTCCTTGAAAAATGTTCTTTCTTGTTCAGCATAGACTCTCAATTCGCCCAAAAATTCTTGCTACTTTGAAACTGGTGTATGTAAACATTATGCTGGCTTTATATATGTGCTCCCTCTAACCATTAGACCAAAACTACGAAGTTATGGTAAGGCTTGAGGATTATTATTTTATATTCTTTTATATTTTAACACACCCCGCAGGCTAAATACCTTTTTTTTATGGGTTGAAACCTAGACTCACATAGCGGTGACAATTTTTTTAATACGCATTAAATGCGGCCCAACAATACTCGATTCTAGGTCGGCTTTAATACCATGTGAAAGTCTCTCTAACCATTATACCAAAACTTTGAAGTTATGATAAGGGTTGAAGATTATATTTTTATATTTTAACATGCCTCGCAGGTTGAGTGCATTTTTTATGGGCTAAAACCTAGACTCACGTAGCAATAACAGTATTTTAAAAATCCATATTAAATTCATGGCCTGCAAGAGTCGAATAGGGTTGCTCTGATACCATCTGAAATTAAGTCCCTTTAACCATTATAGAAATGCGGGAACTAAGTAACCAAAATCTATTATCTTGTAAATTACAATATCCTTATACATCTTCTCAGTAGGTTGTGGGAACATTATTTTCTCTCAAGGTCATCTCTGTCTTTTTGTGTAAGATAGATACTCGGATATTTGAAACTAAGTCATTGGGCTACTTTTCTTAATCTTTATTATTTTCATGGAGGCTCATTATGAAATTGTGCTTGGCTTGTCCTATTTCCTTTTTCCTTTTTCTGGGAACAAACATAAATGATAACAATGAATCAAACAATTTTCTATTCTTGTCAATGAGAACTTTTCTTTATGTCTAATACTCATTAAAAAAAAATCAGTTTGAGCGTTGATTTTGTTGGGGATCATTTATTCTTTTTCAATCATCAAACTTGTTTGCCTATTTATCTAGGTTCCTGATCAACTTTACCAGCCATCAGTAGAAGTTGTTAAAGGTTGTTGTAGACAAGTGAAGCAAGCATGTCAAATAACGGATAGCCCAAGGTATTACATGTCATGCGTTGATAATGACAGCGATCAAAGTAACAATGGACGAGAGACAACACGATTTCTTGTGCAAATGGATACGGAGCGATCGTCCATATACCAGAAGACTTGTCTAGACTACTATTTTGAAAATCCTTTACAAGTATGATTTATAGTATTCTGCTTATCCTGCAAAATGCATAGTATTTTCGTGAGTCCATAAGTTTAATCCTTCTTTGTAGGTAGCAGGAGATTTGCGAGTTATTTTCTACGAAAAGATGTTTGGTGGGCGTCTCTTTTATACCTGCTTTAACACAGCCTTCATTGAGAATATCTTGTTACAGGTACTTTTTTTTTGGCCGGGGGTGGTTTT